GCCTTCCCGAGCGCGGCGGACCCGCTGCGGTGCGGGCGGCGCGCCCTCGTCCCCCGCAGCCCCTTCTTAGTGACATCTCCATTATAACCCCCCCAGATACGGACCCTGTCCCCGTCCACTCGGGGATCCGCAGAGCTCTCCGCCGGGTCCGAGGAGGGTCTAGGAGGTGGGAGGGGGAGGGATGGCTGGAGCTGGTGCCGCCTCCAGCCAGGGGACTCTGCCTGCAGGACCTTTCTCTAGTTGGCCGGATAAAGGCGTGCTAGGGACAGAAGGTGCTCCTGCTTCGTAAAATAGGGACCGTGGGGTGATTTTAGGAGTAAAGAAGCTGATGTGCGGGAGTGTTGGACACAGTGACCAGCCCAGAGTTGGGCTGACCTCCCAGGTGCCAGGCACGGGTGGGCTGGAGGCTGGCAGAGCCTCAGGGTGGTGCGGTCGGCGGCCCTCACCGTCCAGCGCCCCCTATCCCTTTACTGCAGGGCGCTTACACCTTTATTCCTGTACCATCCAGGCTTTGCACAGCCCTCTGTGGAACCAGGGAGGGGACAGCCATAGAGGGACTAGTCGGGCAGGCATTGGGAGCCTTAGCACCATTCCTAATAGTCCTGGCTCCTAGCATTGGCTGCAAGGACCCTGGGGGCCCTGGTGGGAGAGGCCTTTCTGGGATGGGTTCAGACTGGGAGACGCTGAGCATTTGTCTTCCTCTTTCAGCCCAAGCCTACATCTGGGGCAAGATGGGAGCCTAGAAGAAGGTAGGGCCTGGGCATTTTCCTCTGCAGAGAGACTTCTGCCAGGAGAGGGTGAGTCAGGGCCAGCGGCTGAGAGAGACTTGATCCTGGGGCCTGATTAAATGACTGGCCTCAGTTTTCCTTCAGGCCTGTTTCCAGTGCTGAGAAAGTGGTACTGCTCTCTCACCTTGCTAATGAATTCTATGAAGGGAGACCGGCCTTGTCGCAGCCTTCTGGAGGTAACTGTCTTGTTTTGTGTTCCTGTTTTCACAGGCATCTTCTATTTGTCGCAAGGGATAATGGTTTTTCATTTGGGCTGTGATACAAAGGGTTTAATTTTTTTTTCTAGGTGTGTACTGAAGTTTAAAATGCGTTGATTTAAGGAAATTAAACCAGTAAAAATTAAGGAGATGGCTTGTTAGAAACTAAAGTTTTGAGAACCTCACGTGAGTCCCCTCCCCCTCTACATTCTGGCTTTGGGGCTGGAAGAAGGGTGGGTGGGGGTGGCAGGGATGGCTCAGGATGGGAGTGGAATTCTGCCCAGATGCCTGGAGACTGAAGGGCCTCTGTCAGCACTGGGACTGTCCAGGGCCAGGGTGGGGGAGAAGGGTGGTGATTGACTTTTGGTAAGTGTGAGGTCTGGAGTGATGGAGAATGGGAGAGGGGCTAGAGTGAGTAGACTGAAGGGGGCCACACACAGAAACTGATGGCTGAGTTTAGGCAGCCATAGTGGTCCAGGGAGTGGAGAAGGAGGGCAGTCTTTCCAGTCCCCGTCTCCCCCCCCCTGCAGCCAGGCTGTTTCCTCCCACTACCCCATTACAATCCCAGAGGGGGTTCTCTGGGCCACACACCCACTTCGGGGCACACACCCACCACTTGGCTGAGAATGGGTCAGCACCAGGCCTGACTGTCTTGCCAGAATTGTACACTGAGGGCGAGGAGGGTCATCCCGAAGGAAAGTCTGGTGCTACCACTAGTAGGGGGCTGGAGAGGGGGTGGTCATGGAAAGAGCAGAAGCATAAGGGGTATGTCCCCCAAGGCCTGCAGAAGTGACATCGCTGTGAGAGACGGCCCACTGCATGCAATCATTGGGCCCTGCTGTCCGAGAGCTTCACGTGTCCCTCCCTGTAGCCTCTGCACTCCCAACTTTATCCTTTGAAACGGCAGCAGTTGTCTGGCTCCTGGCCAGTTTTCCACAGCTCTCTGCACCCTTACTGTAATGAATTCCTCAGGGCCTGCCTGCAACCCAATTCCCTCAGGCACTTCTAGGCAGGTGAGCTCTGACTGTCATCCTGCAGCCTAGGATGGGGCACCCCCTCACCCAAGGGTTCACCTTTTTGCTGGGGACAGTGACACTGGCCCCCACCCAGGAGGGAGGGTGGAGCCAAATGGGCATAGCAAGTCCTACTTTCTCTCCAGACCCTGCTGTGGGCCTTCCTTTGTTCTTGCTTCCCACAGAGTGAAAATGACCCTTTGTGTTGGGATTCCATGTCAGCCCTCAGCCTACACTGCCTTCTGGAGGTTTTCTGGGACAGCCCCTGGCAGTGGCCTCTCCTTCCACCCTTCTTCACCGGGCTTCTTAACCTGTGCTCTAGGGATCCAGAATTGGGGAGCTCCAGGAGCTGAGATAAGAAAAAAAAAATTCTGTCTTTACTTTCACTAACCTCTAACTGAAATTTGCATTTCCTTGAGTTGTGAATGGAGGCAGTAAAGTCCAACAGAATTCACAGTACTTGTGGCTGTCACACAGAAATCACAAGGGTTTTCATACGCGCTGCAGGTGCTGCAAACCCCTCAAAGTAGCAGTTACCCACTGCTACCTGGTGTTTCTNCAGAAATCACAAGGGTTTTCATACGCTCTGCAGATGCTGCAAACCCCTCAAAGTAGCAGTTACCCACTGCTACCTGGTGTTTCTGGTACCTATTAGTCCTACCTCTGTATCTTATAATGTCATAACTTTGTGTGTGTGTTTATGTTTTGGTATTTGCATTTCAACATTAGCAGTCCTTTTGTAATGCAATATACTTTATGCATCTGAAAACACGGCTCTAAGCAGGGGTCCTTCATCTTCTCTAGTTGCTAAGGGTGTCTCTGGCACAGTGAGAGTTTAGAAGTCCTTCCTAAGTCTCACCTCATCCCTCTGCTGGCCTTCTTTCCTTGGATGCCTCATTCTCACGTTCATTCATAACAAAGGTCCATGGGGCTCAGAAAGCTTACCCTGGGGGAAATGACCATGCCTGAAGGGCAGAGGGCCTTCCTGAGAAAATAAGGTTAGCAGTTTGATCCAGGGGAGAGGAGAAATTGCCTTGAAAAGGTGGCCAGGTGGTTCAGTACATGCAAATGTCTCTGTTGCAGGAACCTCCAGGCCAGCCAGGGTAGAACTCAGTGAGAGAGGGCACCAGAGGCAGACAGGGTAGGGCAGAGAGAGCACCAGCACCTAGCACACCTTATCAGTAATTTGGGTTTTTACCCTTGGAGCTATGGGGATCCTCTAAAGCAAGGAGAGGAGTAGGGACTGCCCTGGGGTCAATACAATCAGATTTGCATTTTGAAATGATTGCTTGGGCAAGCATGAGAAGGGACTAGAGAGAGTAAAAGAGGAAGCAGGGAAGGAAGTCTAGAATACACACCTATGGCATGAAAATTATTTTGAGCTGAAGGCATTTGAGAATAGGCTTTTTTCCGGAAGTCCCTTATCTGCCTAAAAGCAGAGCTTCCCAAAAGAACTCAGCTGTCCTAAATCTCTTCCCCAGGAGCAACGAGGGAAAGACTGATTTTATCACCTAATAAACCCAGACACACAGCTGTCAATCATCTCTTCTCCTAACGGCCCATTTATCTTTCCTAAAAGTCATTTATTTCTCCTGTAAGTACCTTTCTCCCCCTCCTCTCCCTCTGCTTCCCCTATTAAGTTGGTATATAAGACCCCAAATTCTAACCGCCTAGTACTTGAATAAAAATCTTTTTGTTCTTGTTAATCTGTCTTGTGTCATTTTAATTCACAGGCCCCAACTACTAAACCTAAGAGGGTAGAGAAAAAAGTTTTCTGCCTCCACATAAGCATCTCTCCACCGAGAGAGATGGTCTGGAATGCGGGGTGGGGGTTAGAGATGACAAGTAGATGGGTTCAGGACAGGCTTTCCGAGACCGTGTATCAGGAACATGGACTAGAAGGACAGCCTGTCTGGGTTCATAATTCTGGCTCCACCACTGTGTGTGACTCAATCCTTTCTGAGGCCATTTCCCCAGCAGGTAAAATGGAGGATAATTATCAGTTAGAATAGGCTTGATTGCCCTGGCCAGTGTTGCTCAGTGGTTGGCCTGGGCACAGGAGGGTCCTGGATTCAACTCCCGGTCAAGGACACATACCTGTTGCAGGTCTGACCCCTGCCACTGGTTGGGTGTGTGCAGAAGGCAACCAATGGATGTGTCTCTGTCACATTGATGTTTCTCTCTCTGTCTCCCTGTTGTCCTTCGCTTCCACTCTCTCTAGAAATCAATGGAAAAAATAGCCTCACTCTTAGGGTGAGGGTTAAAAAAAAGCTTTCTAAAATCTACTTTAAAACAAAGAAAGAGTAGACTTGCCCAGCCGGGCATGGCTTAGCGGTTGAGCATCGACCTAGGATCCAGGCGATCGGGGTTTGATTCCCGGTCAGGGCACATGCCCGGGTTGTGGGCTGCAGCCGATCAATGACTCTCATCATTGATGTTTCTATCTCTCTCTCTCCCTCTCCTTTCCTCTCTCTGAAATCAATAAAGATATATTTTTTAAAAAATAGGCTTGATTATGCCACTGTAATAACCCCAAATGTCTATGATTTAATAAAGGCATATTTCTCAAAGCTGTATATCTATCAAGGGTCCCTGGGGGCTCTGCTCATGGTAGTTCCTGCCCAGGCTACAGGAATAACCACCTGAGCATAGAAGGCTTCCCTGGCAAAGGGAAAGAGAGCCCTAGAAACTCCAGCACTGGCAAGTAAATAAATGCTCTGGCCTCTACCTGATACATGGCTCTTCTGTCTCAGGTCCTTCGCCAGAGCTAATCAATGGTCTCACCTCAAGGGAGCAGGTGAGTTAATATATATAAAATATTCAGAATACTTCCTGGCATAAGAGAAGTACTGTGGGAATGTTACTACTGTTGTTATTGGGATGTACAATCAGCCAGAACTGCTGTGGTTTGAGGACATGGCATGGTCACAGCTGACTCTCATGTTTCTGGCCTGCATTGTGATCATAACTGCTACTGGGAACCCTGGGGCTGCCATCTGGTGTGGGGGAGTGGTGGTTCAGTACTCTTGGATTCAACTGACGAAGGCCAAAATCAATTGATTTAAGCTGTCTCATGATCCAGCATTAGGCCTGTGGGGACCCAGAAGCTCAGTTGCTGAGATGAGGCCTTGATCCCCTGCTCAGTGTGGGCCCAGCTCACAGGCAGACTCCAGCTTCCAGGTGGCCCCTGTGGGCATTTTACCAGCTTGGGTTATATGTGCATTCCTGACTCAGTGGGCTACAGTGCTCTGGTTGGCCAAACCTGGGCCATGTGCCTACCCCACCCTACCCACACTGGGGGAGGAATGAATAGAGCACCGGGAATGGGGAATGCATATCAAATCTGGGAGCAGGAGTGAGCAAGACTTTGACCCCCTCCCCTCACCCCTGCGGTCTTGGGGAACCGCAGTGCCTGAGGGTGGTGGAGTGGGTCACTGCAGCCTAGTGAAGGGCTGTGCCCTTCTCAGTAGCTGCCAACTTCCCATCTCACATCCTTTTTTTTTTTTAAAAAACATATCTTTATTGATTTCAGAGAGAGGAAAGGAGAGGGAGAGAGAGAGAGATAGAAACATCAATGATGAGAGAGTCATTGATCGACTGCCTAGCCCACAACCCGGGCATGTGCCCTGACTGGGAATCGAACCCCAATCACCTGGATCCTAGGTGGATGCTCAACCGCTGAGCCACGCCCAGCCGGGCCCCATCGCACATCCTTTAACAAGGTTATAGTGGTGGCCATGCTGCCAACTTTTTGGCCTGGCCTCCGGGAGGCCCAGGCCCTGTGGACCCTCCATCCCTCTCTTCTCTCCTCAGTTCAGGGCCTGCCAGACTGTAATTCCTGGGTGCCATCCTGAGCGCTAGGCAGAGCAGGGTACTGAGGACCCAGCCTCAGCCACGAGGGCCTCCCCATGTCCTCCCTTCACTGGTCACCTGTGCAAAGCCCAGCTGCACCCACTGTCCTGCCATCAGGTGGCTGGAAGCCAACTACCGGGCATGGCAGCCCTGCAGAGCTTATCGAAGGAGGACCCCTTGGCGTCCTGCCTCAGAGTGTGAGGGTTACAGGATAGGGGACACACTCTAGGTCCAACATGAGCATGACCCCCAAGCCCCCCTCCTCCCTGAACACGCTACCTGAGCTCTTTACCTGCCAGGTGCTGGGGGACAGGCTGAGCA